CAAAGCCTTACGGAGTTTATGTCGTTTATGCGCACAACTATGCAAGATTTAATGCGAAACCAAAATCTACTGATTCAAATGCTGGTTTCACAACAATCCAAATAATGACTTCCCTAAGGATATCTCCGTGGAACGCTAACGGCGTCTCACAGCATAAACTTGAGTTAGCTCAATTCCTACTCGACAACCATATCGACGTAATGCTGCTTTCAGAAACACACCTTACAAATAAATACAATTTTCAACTACGAGGTTATTCATTTTACGGAACAAATCATCCAGATGGTAAAGCACATGGTGGGACTGGAATTCTAATCAGAAGCCGTATTAAGCACCACTATCATAACAAATTTGCTAAAAATTATCTACAGGCCACATCTATAAATATACAAACAAACACTGGCAACCAACTTACACTAGCCGCCGTATACTGCCCCCCTCGCTTCACCATAGCTGAAGATGAGTTTATGCAGTTTTTCAACTCACTAGGAGACCACTTCATAGCAGCAGGGGACTACAACGCCAAGCACACACACTGGGGATCACGTCTCGTGACTCCAAAAGGAAAACAGCTCTATAATGCAGTTATAAAAGCCAAGAACAAGCTGGACTATGTTTCTCCTGGCAGACCAACATACTGGCCGGCAGACCCAAGGAAACTACCCGATTTAATAGACTTTGCAATTACCAAAAACATTTCTAAAAATCTGATAAGCGCCGAATGCCTCTCGGATCTTTCATCGGATCACTCGCCTGTCCTGTTTATTCTTCTCCGACATCCAGGCGCATTGGAGCAATCGTTTAAATTGACATCTCAGAAAACCAATTGGGTCAAGTACAAGAAATACATTAGCTCACACATTGAGCTAAGTCCTCATCTCAACGATGAAGCCAACGTAGACAGATTTGTTAATACACTGGAGTCTGTACTCGTCTCTGCAGCTCTAGTTTCAACACCCCAAACTACAAGTACACAAAGCAACCAAAAGAAGACAAATCTACAAATAGAACAGCTCGTCCTCGAAAAGCGACGCTTACGTCGAGAGTGGCAACTGCACAGATCACCATCTGCTAGGCAAAGCTTAAAATATGCCTCACGTCAACTCACAAAAGCTTTACAGCAAGAAGAAGCACATGTCCACCGACGCTACATAGAGCAATTGTCAACATCTAGCACAAAACACTCACTATGGAGAGCTCACCCTACTCTCACCGAAAGTAACCGTGATGCCTATTAGAAACCCCACAGGCGGCTGGGCGCGCAGCGATGCAGACAGAGCCAGCACGTTTGCCAACCACCTTAAAAATGTCTTCAAACCAAATCCTGCCACTAGTGCGTTCACCTTGCCGACTTTACCACATGAGCCTCAGCTTCAACATGAACCAATTGAGTTTCGCCCAAACGAAATCGTTAACATCATCAAAAATCAGCTGACTCCGAAAAAATCCCCGGGCTGCGACCTCATAACTCCCAAAATGATCATTGAGCTCCCATATTGCGCCGTTTGCACTATCACCCAGCTTTTTAATGCCATCGCAAAACTTGGCCACTTTCCAGTGAGATGGAAAAAGTCAATTATAATAATGATAGCAAAGCCAGGAAAAGACCACACAATTTCCACGTCGTATAGACCTATAAGCCTACTCTCATGCTTATCTAAACTCTTTGAAAAATGCGTATTGATTCGGATAAACACATACCTAAGAATCCAGGAAGGAATTCCGTCACATCAATTTGGGTTTCGTGAAAAGCACGGAACAATTGAGCAGGTCAACCGGATAACATCAGAAATTCGGAACGCGTTCGAAAAACGAGAGTACTGTACTGCCATATTTTTAGACGTCTCTCAAGCATTTGATAGAGTTTGGCTAGAAGGTCTAATGTTCAAGATCAAGACAATGCTCCCCTACAACACCCATAAGCTTCTAGAGTCTTACCTCTACGACAGAAAATTTGCTGTTCGATGCAACACTGCTATAACTGACGATTTCACTATTGGAGCTGGAGTTCCTCAAGGAAGCGTACTCGGGCCAACATTATATGTCCTCTACACAGCAGACATCCCAACAAGCACACGATTAACAACATCTACGTTTGCTGATGATACAGCCATTCTCAGCCGCTCAAAATGCCCGATGCAAGCAACTGCGCAGCTCGCTCTCCATCTGGTCGATGTAGAAAAGTGGCTATCAGATTGGCGAATTAAAGTGAACGAACAAAAATGCAAGCACGTTACGTTCACCCTGAACAGGCAAAACTGCCCGCCGCTCATGTTAAACCATACTCTACTCCCGCAAGCAAACGAAGTGACATATCTAGGAGTACACCTCGACAGAAGACTCACAGGGCGCCGGCACATTGAAGCCAAAAGAACACACCTAAAGCTAAAAGCCAGTAGCCTTCATTGGCTTATCAACGCTCGGTCTCCCCTTAGTTTTGAATATAAAGTCCTGCTGTATAACTCGGTACTAAAATCTATATGGATATACGGCTCTCAGTTATGGGGAAATGCCAGCAATAGCAATATTGACATAGTCCAGCGAGCTCAGTCGAAGATCTTGAGAACAATCACCGGGGCACCGTGGTACGTTCGCAACGAAACCATACATCGCGACTTAAACATTCTACCAGTCAAAGAAGTGATCGCAGAACAGAAGAAAAAGTACTTTACCAAGCTATCGTTGCACCCTAACCACCTGGCGAGAGGTCTTACAAGGTTGATCAACCAATCACGCCTTCGTCGCAATGACTTACCCATCCAGCGACCGACTTGAGGCACGCGCAACCAGAATGAAGTCTTATTATACTGTTAGTTAAATGCTAATGTTAAGATTCGTAAACTTATTGTTAGTCTCAAAATTAAGAGAAGATTCAATAAATAAAAGCAAAGTTAAATAAAACAAGAAAGGAAAGCTAACTTCGGGCGGAGCCGAAGTTGATATACCCTTGCAGAATACTCTGTAAATTATATTCTCCAAAATTATTCATATAATGCATTCTTAATACTCATAAAAAATCCCAACTTCCTAACTTTACAAACACGAAAGTTATGGCATTTCCGATCAATCAGTTATATGGCAGCTATAGGATATAGTCGGCCGATCCTTATGAAATTTGGTAGGTCGGATTGATTGGCCAAATATAAAACACATAGAAAATCCCAACTTCCTAACTTTACAAACACGAAAGTTATGGCATTTCCGATCAATCAGTTATATGGCAGCTATAGGATATAGTCGGCCGATCCTTATGAAATTTGGTAGGTCGGATTGATTGGCCAAATATAAAACCCATAGAAAATCTCAACTTCCTAACTTTACAAACACGAAAGTTATGGCATTTCCGATCAATCAGTTATATGGCAGCTATAGGATATAGTCGGCCGATCCTTATGAAATTTGGTGAGTCGAATTGATTGGCCAAATATAAAACCCATAGAAAATCTCAACTTCCTAACTTTACAAACACGAAAGTTATGGCATTTCCGATCAATCAGTTATATGGCAGCTATAGGATATAGTCGGCCGATCCCGGCGGTTCCGACTTATATACTGCGTGCAAAGGAAAGAAGGGTGTGTGCAAAGTTTCAATTCGATAGCTTTAAAACTGAGAGACTAGTTTGCGTAGAAACAGACAGACGGACAGACGGACAGACAGACGGACAGACGGACAGACGGACAGACGGACATGGCTATATCAACTCAGGAGGTGATCCTGATCAAGAATATATATACTTTATAGGGTCGGAGACGTCTCCTTCACTGCGTTGCACACTTTTGACCAAAATTATAATACCCTCTGCAAGGGTATAAAAAAAAAAAAAAAATCATTGGCCCATCCCAAAGATTAGTAATATTGCTACATTGCTTTATTGTATTTTTCCCCATCAGCAATATTTTCTTTTAACACGCTTCGTCAGTAATTGTTAACATGGTTTTAGGGCAGGTCGTTCCACTACGAAAACTGCTGCTAAACTGCTGCATCCATGTTTTTGATATGCGATGTCAAGTTAATGCTATATATGTATACCGATTTTGTCAAAGCTTTTAAAAAACTGTTAGCCAAAACTGTCCCGTTTCGGTATCCACTCGGATAAACTGATTAAGCTCATATTTAGATCATCGTATGTACAAGATAATATAAGTTTTTTGGAATCTTATTTGGCAACATCTGGCCTACCACAGGGGAGATAATTTGTAACGCAGTGAAAGAAACATATCCGACCCTACAAAGTATATATATTCTTGATCAGCATCACCATGAGAGTCGATCTAGCCATGTCCGTCCGTTTCTACGCAAACTAGTCCCTCAGATTTAAAGCTATCTGCTTGAAACTTCCAAAAGTAGTCATTCTATTGCACGTAGTATATAATTCGGAACGAGCCGAATCGGGCGACTATATCATATAGGAACAATCAGAAAAGAGGAATTAAAAAAAATTGTAACTTTTTTGTTTTTTTAATTTTTTTGTTGTTCTTTCGGATTTGTTAATATTTAAATATTATGGAATTACGGTTTTAATTAAATTAAAATCGGACAGCAATATCATATTGCTACCATAGAAACGACGGCCAAATGAAGCGGAAAATCGACATAGCTTCATTGTGCTTATATATATAGGCATATAAATCGAAATTTAGTCGTTTTGTTATAACTGCAAGGGTATATAAACTTAGGCTTGCCGAAGTTTGCCCTTTCTTGTTTTCAAATTGATTTTGGGCTGATTATGCTTATTGCTTATATCTTACATAATTGAGCTGTAAGTTGCAAAAGAAGGTCTGTCTCTATCGATCAGAAAATACTTGACGGTGACTCAAGGTCGCTGAGGGGTTTATTTTCACATGAGTGCTCGAGACAATTATTCTTAACAGATGATCCATCGGTTTAAAAAGTCACCATGTACCACAAGCCACCGTTTCACTTTCGACGCTATGGCGCCGACGCTAGCCTGACAGACATAGTTGATTGTTTAATATCATTTCTGATGGTATAGTTTGAAGGCCCGGCCCTGGTCACACTGGTTCAAGCGTGTGAAAAAACAACGGACGGTCTTTCGTTTTTCGCGTTTTGTTTTTGTATATATTTTGAACGAAATAAGTAAATAAAATTAGGATAAAATAGGGTCATGTAAATAGTATATTTTTGTAAAAGCACGTTTCCACTCGAAGCCGATTATTGATTATATTAAGGTCGGATGTAAATAACCGAACGCCAATTGTCATGTAATATTGCAAACAATTTAAATAAAAAAAATTAAATTCGTGCTTCCTTGCAAAATATAAGATACCAAGGTGAGTACGCATTTACCTTTATTTGCGGTGAAAAAGAGATGGTAGCTAATCAGCTGACACATGTTCACAATACGTCAACCAAAACAATGACCGAAATTTTTTTTAATTGATCTCTTTCGAATCTTGCTAACCTTTGGGCAGCCAGGCGACTGTGTGATTACTTGTTTATTGTTGGCATTATCTGTAAAAAGTCATTGTTTACTATGTCATTGTTTACTCTATCATTAATTACTCTTATTACTGTAACCTCATGCTGTTGAAATAATTCGCTAAGTTAGCTTACAGGTCTCAGGATCTGACCTCTGATATGTCACTGGTGCTGGTAACTTTAAAAAATGTAATGAGAAATGTTCGCCCCTATAAAGTCTATTCAGTGGCCTCTTGCCTAGCAGAACCAAATATATATTGGTGACCATTTTAAGCACATTTTCAAGCTGTCCGACACTTTACAACAAAAGTAGCCAAATTTAGGCAATTCGAAGCTATTTTGCACCTTTATAAAAAACGAATAAGTTATATCGGTTTTCCAAACAATTTTTCGGTCCTTCCTATAAAAGCTATGTATATGATAAAGTCCAAACACTCGGAGAGCTCTTCGCCAACTTTGATAAATCACACGGACAAATAAAAAAGAGCGTTAAAAAAGCAAAATGATAAAAAAAAGCACAAAACCATTTTTACACTCCAAGAAAAAAAAACATACAGTGACTCCATCCCTTAATCGGACAAGTACCTTCTTATGATAAATGTGCGCTAAAAATATACTAAATGGGCTTAATTAATTTTTAAAAATTTTTTTATTATAAATATACACTTTCATCTATCTAAAACAAAAGAAAAAAGTCAACATTTTTGTTAAGAACCCAAAGTTTTCAAACAAATACAAATTTATATCGATATTTGGCGCTCAACGTATAATCGGACAATCCCAAAATGAACACAAAAAATCGTTGTTTTTCTTGGAATTCGATGCAAACTTTAGGCTTTTTGAATTGCGTTTGGTTTATAATAGAGATTAGGGGCAGAAAACATAAATTTGCTATTATATAGTAGAAAAATGGCTCCAAATGGAAAGCAATCCTCTGTAGAACTTCGGCAGTTAGTTGTTAAGCTACATTTTGAAGGAAAAACTGTAAGGGAAATCTCCGAATTAGTTGGAAAAAGCAAATCTACGGTCCACGACATTATTAAGCGGTTCCGTGATAAATTTAGATTTGCCAATAAAAGCAGGGAAGGCCAAAAAAAGATCTTAAATGACCGAGAAGAGAGGTCGGTTTTAAAAGAAATTAAACAAGATCCCTTCAAAACTGCTAAATAACTAAAGATTTCTTTACAAAACCGAATTGGTAAAGACGTGTGTCTCTATACTGTGCGTAATACTGTAAATAAATTCGATTTCCACGGAAGATTTGTGAGGAAGAAGCCCTTTATTAGCCCCAAGAACAAATAAAATCGCATTAAATATGCAAAAGAATATTTGATGAAAACAGGGGATTTTTGGAAGCCGGTAATATAGTAGTTATTCAGCTCAAAAAATATTTTTGTTGATTTTTATTAATTAATTAAAGGTTCTGTTTGAATAAAAAAATCAACAAAAATATTTTTTGAGCTGAATAACTACTATATTTTTAGCGCACATTTATCATAAGAAGGTACTTGTCCGATTAAGCGATGGAGTCACTGTAAGTGCAATGATACTTTTAGAAATACCAGGAAACTTTTCACAAATACTATGAAACTAAAAAATAACTGTAACTCAGATGGCATGCCTATATGTACATTGACTAACATAATTATTGGCATAGCAAGCATGTTGAACCTTAGGACTGTTTTTCTTTATCTAATATGCTGATATATAAATGAAACAAAATATTTGTAAATGGAATCACTCATTTACTGTTAAATGCAAGTGACATCATTAATGTATCATTTATAAATAATTTATTAGAAATAAAAAAAAATAAAAAATGGAACCAATTTCTCTGAACAAAATTATAGGCAATACTGGTTTTAGTAAACTATTTTGTTAAAACTATCGATTTAGCCCGTTATATACCCTTGCAGAGGGTATTATAATTTTGGTCAGAAGTTTGTAACGCAGTGAAGAAGACGTTTCCAACCCCATAAAGTATATATATTCTTGATCAGGATCAATAGGGAAGTCGATATAGCCATGTCCGTCTGTTTCAATACCGTTTGCGAGCTCAGTTTAAAAGCTAGCGATCTGAAACTTTCACAGTCGTCCTAAAACAAGTGTAGGCAGATCAAGTTTGAAAATCGATCGGACGTCTATATCCTATAGCTCCCAAAGGAACAATTGGATATATCTAGCAAGAATAGAAGATATTTTGCGCACCGTAAAAGCTATTGAGATGAATCTTTCCAAATCGTATTTTTTATGGATACCTTAATCAGGGTAAAATCCCGTGCCAATCGGACGTCTATATCTTACAGCTCCCACAGGAACAATATGGTGAAATTGGTTAAAATTTAATGATTTTCAGGATATTTCGCACAGTATATAAGCTATTGACATAAATCTTTCCAAATCGTATTTTTTTATGCATACCTTGATCAGGGTAAACGCGCGTGCCGATCGGACGTCTATATCCTCTACCTCTCATAGGAACAATAGGGTGTAATCGGTCCAAATTTGATGTTTTTCAGAATATTTCGCGCAGTGCATAAGCTATTGACATACATTTTTCCAAGTCTTATTTATTTACGCAAACCTTGATCAGGGTAAAATCGCTTGCCAATCGGACGTCTATATATAATAGCTTCCCTCGGAAAAATTGTTAAAGGCTGCGAAAATAGCCCTTTTTTCTATTTTTATATGACATTTTTGCAGTATAGAAGTTATTGAAATCCCGTTTTCCTAATACTCTAATGATAAATTTTAAGGCCATAATTGTTTAAGTGCCTTAAATTAAAGGAACAATTGATTGTTTACAAAGTAAAAAGAAAATCAATGCATGTGTCCAAAAAATCAATTTTAAGAAGCTGGACCAGGGCAAATCAGTTTCTGGCCTGAGGTCATATTTGTAAAAGAGTACGAAGATAAGAAAAAAAAGAATAGTTCAAGGGAAATAGAAAATACCTTTCAATAACCATTCCCAGCGACCTCCACATCCTGTTCTGCCACAAAAAATTGCCTCCTCCTTTCTTTTTCCTATCTGAATACAAGACGTTTACTTAGTAAGCTGACTAAATTGTACTCGGATAGTTTTTCCTTTCCATAAAATATTATTGTATGAATCCGGGCTAATGCTGGATTTTCTTAGCTCTGAAATATACTCGGGTGAGTACACAATTCGTCAGTATGCTAAACGAATTCGCTTATAATGCATTGAATTGCTTCTTTTATCTGTGTGTTATACTATCCCTCAATTTCAAATAAACCTCCATGGGTAACAAGGAGTTGTCACTCCTAAAAAATGTTAAGTCTACCCTTTTCAAAATTCCCTATATCTAAGGGTTTGGTCAAATTTTACCGTGCCTATCGACTGGTGTTATAAAAGCTTGACAAGATCCAAAAAAAAGTTTTATAATTTTGTAAGCAATAAGCGTAAATCAGCCGGTTACCCAGCATCGCTAACGCTTGAAAATTCGCGAAAATTATACTGATGCTCGCCGGAATGCTACGCAGGCAGAGAAGAGGCACAGTAGAGCGAAGAATACTCAGATTCGACTACCCGACGATTTACAAGAGACTGGTCATTTCAAAGGAAAGGTTAAGGATCTGTCCATTTCAAGGCAAACTGTAGGAATAATTTAAATTAAATTTAAAAAATGCTTCCATTGCTGGAAAGAAATATTGGACCTCGATTCATTAAGTTTAAACCAACGGAGGAAAAGCTGACAAAATGAAAGCAGCATTTCTTTAAAAAATATGGAATCCCAGGAGTAATTGGATGCATATAGGGGACTCGCGTTAAAATTATTAATCCCGGTAGTGCCGAAAAAATTGGTTTAAATAGGAAGGGGTATTATGGGATGTGTAAAAATAAAAATGGCTGTTCTGTTTGTTCGTTTAAATAATGGTTAGTAATGAAGTCAGAGCGAGGTCTGGAACAGCAGGACTCTTCGTCGCGAAGATAAAGAGCAAAAGTTTTCTGACCTTAATTTCATCAGCGATTATTGCAGTCAATTTGCCTTGTTACAAATTCTGGCCGTCTGGTGAAAATTTACTCTCATTCCTTTAGACAGAGATTAATTTCAATCTGAAATTTTGAATGTATACTTTTGTCAAACAACAACTTCCATGGTTAACTTTCTTCTCATCGAATTTCTGCTTCAAGAAGCAAAATGTCTTCAGTCTACCCACGCCATTAATTAATAGGTAAAAAAAAAACAATACTTTTTTTTTATAATTGATGGATACTGATTTTAAATTATTTTAAAATTTCGTTTATGAAGAACTATTTCGACATATTAATGTGGGCTTTATTTTCTTTAAAAGAATAACAAATTCAAAACGATAATATAATTTTTTCGATGCATTTTACCAATCTGGCTGCAAATAAAAAAACTTAAGTTTTTAAATTATAATTTTTAAAACGATGGTTTGAATTTTTGATATGTTGTTTCCTCACCTTAAAAAAATAAACAAATATATATATAATTAAAAAAAACAGAAAAAAATCATAAAAAAATAACCATAAAATACAAACTAAAAAGTAACAAAACATAAAACCTAAAGGCAAAATTAAATATCACAAAAACATAAAATAAAACACAAACAATCAAAACTAATTATAAAAATCAAGAACAAATACCAAAAAGATATTTAGATAATTTTAATAAATCAGCAAATAAATATACCCTTGAAGAGGGTAGAATATAATTTAGAGAATATTCTGCAAGGGTATATCAACTTCGGCTCCGCCCAAAGTTAGCTTTCCTTTCTTGTTTTGTTATGTGTTAAATAGCTGGAAAACATGCACTTTTTGTATATCCTAAAAGTGAAATTATTTAACCCTTTTGCTAGGGTATAAAAT